TGATTGATTATTCTTCTCCCGTGCTTACGACTTGTTTGAAAGAGCGAGCACGCTTCTGCATAGGCGCGCGACAGAATCCTCCAACAATAATTACAACAAGGAAAACTAAAAACAAATAACAGTATTAATACAATCTGAGATCCAATTAATCTACTCATGCACGTTATTGATATCTGACAGTCAGAAAGGCTATTAAGTGGTTTGTTATTGCTATAAAACTATTTGATATATAACCGCCTGAACTCATTGTTATTGCTATTTAACCATTAAGTTATCTGGGTTTCCAGTATGTACACAATATCCATACGTGTTGTAAAACAAGGAAGCATTTTGGAGGAAAATACGAAAAAACCATACCATGTTCAACAGCTTACGGCAGTAACAATGAGTTCAAGGGGTTATATGAAAAACGAAAAGATTATACATCAATTCATCGATCTCAAGGAATCAGTTAATTAGGAAAATATCAAGCCTATTTGAAGACCCATCCTTGTATAACTTTCTCAGTTAGAGAGTCGAGCCTCCTTTTAAGAGCTCTTCAAGCGTACTCCGCAACACTAATCGGAGACTTGTTGAAAGGGTAAGAAGACTGAAAAATTAAAAAAAGGAAGTGAATTTAGAGTCATGAGTTTTAATAGGTAGATTCCGGGTTTGACCATACATCAATGTATAGTTTTGGAGTAAAAGAATAAAGTCATACCTAGACTGAATTTAATACAACCCGCACAGCAACGACAGAAATTAATATTGGCATGCACCATTGTTCTTTTCACTAGCCAATTAGTACGCAGATTCATCTTAATTAATATCTTAAAGAAAACTTAATTTTTCACTTGAAACGTGACACCCCCACTTTACTCCCACGTGAACTAGTGTAAAGAAATATTAGTGGCTTAAATAGAGAAGTCCAAGGCCTAAGAACAACTAGTGTTAGGATTTTTGTAGTGGATTTTAGCCAACATCGAGTTGCTCTCAGTGGGACCAACGGCTTGCGCGTGCCAAAGGGCCCGTGGGCCCGGGGCACGACATAAAAGACTAAGATATGGTCACTTCCACTGTTTAAATTTTTTTTTAATGTAGGGTAAAGATTGAGTGTTATAATTTTATATTCTAATGCATTTCTAAAGTCGAATATTGTTCTTTCATGTGTTCATATCTAAATTATCCAGCAATATCAAAAATCTAGACAGCGATATTAATTTGCCTTGTTTGCATGCAAGTAAAAGATGAAAGTGAGAAATTTCCTACCTGTTTAAATTTTTTTTTAATGTAGGGTAAAGATTGAGTGTTATAATTTTATATTCTAATGCATTTCTAAAGTCGAATATTGTTCTTTCATGTGTTCATATCTAAATTATCCAGCAATATCAAAAATCTAGACAGCGATATTAATTTGCCTTGTTTGCATGCAAGTAAAAGATGAAAGTGAGAAATTTCCTAC